AGGCCCCGCCCGCCCCTCCTTTCTTGGGATCTGGGCGTGGCGGCCCCCGGGCCACGCCAAAGCCAAAGGAAGGGGCCTCACGCACCAGCTCTCTCGTGTCAGGGGGGATCCCGTGAGGGGACCCACTTGAAAAATAACATTGAGGGACACACCATCTGCTCGTGAACTTGGTGACGGCAGCCCCGGTGAGCTCGGGAGCGTGTGAGCTTGGAAAGGGGCGAGTGAGAGGAGGGCGGAGGAATCCCAGAGCAAGAAGATGGATCGGAGGCTCCTCCATTCCCCATCTTGTGGCCCAGGAGGAAGGGGTGGCTTGGCAAGATGGCGGCGCATTTAGAGTGGATAAAGGAACCTGGGGATCTCAGTGCTGCAGGATCTTCAGGCAACCAGCTTGGAGGCAGATTCTGTCCTGCCGACTCACCCCACAGGGCTATTCTGGGGATAAAGTGCCCCTCGGAAGGAGCGCCGGGGGGGCGAATCCAGCCCTCAGCGTTTCCAGGAGCTAGGGGGTCGTAGGAACGAAAGCAGCAGCGCCAGTTCCCACTCAGGAGGATGGCCCAGGGAAGGGTCTGCAAGCTGTGTGCTGTGGAGGGCAGGCAGGGGGAGGCCAGCTGGCCCGTGCACACAACCAGGGGACTGGAAATGGGAAGTGGGTTCAAATTCACACTCGCTCAGGGTATGTCTACACTGGGCGCTTATTTCCAAATAAACGATCCCAGAAGCAATACTCCGAAACAGCTTATTCTGAAACAGCGTGTCTGCACTACAAGGAACCCTCACAATTAGCACAAGGCAGGCTCCCTACTGCGGACGCGGTGCCTCGATTCAGAGCCCCAGGAGGCACTGGGAGGAAGCCCTCTGAATGGCCCTGGTGTTGTACTTAAAAGAAGTACTCAGGGTCTTTTTCAGAGGGAGAAGGCAACATGCCACATTTATTGATCACACATAGAATAATCCACACTTATCACATGCATATGACACATCACACGCATGCACTCTCACACGCACAAGCACACTCTGTCTTGTTGTTACCAAAAGTTGCTCCCCCTAACTGCACTGGCCAGGTGAGTTAGATGGGGGAGGGGTGGAGCCGGGCTTCTGCCGATCCGGATCGATGCTCCCATGTTGACAAGACGAAAACCCGGGTCCCTCTGCAAGATGCCTCCTATTTCTCCCTCTCATGCAGCCAGTTAGTCATCACCTGGCCTTTCCTAATGCTGCTTCAAAGAGAGTCCTTCCAAGGGCAGGCGCTTGCTGCTGGACTCCCAAGGGGTCTGTCTGTCCAGTCTTCTTAATGAGCTCACTGCACAGGTATTGTCTTGGGTCTGGCTCCCAGACCCTCTCCGCCCTTGGGACTGCTGCTGGAGGGTCTCCCCCTTCATTCTCCATTCACACCTCATTCATTTCAACAGGGCAATCAAGGAAAGGGGAGAGCTCAAAAGACATTTTTTTCTTACAAGATCTAGATCTCTTAATACAAAGTTCTAGGAGAAATGTTCCAGAGAGTCTCTAAGACACTGAACAAAGAGAGATCGAAAAGGACAAGATCTTAATACAAAATATAATATTACAGGGATTTCTCCACACTGGGGAGGAGTGTGGAGCGTCCGCACACCCGCTGTTCCGGAACAGCTGTCCCGGAGGAGGCGTGGTTCCTCGTGCCCTGAGGCTGTGTGTGTTCTGAGGAGGCTACTGCGCATGCGCGGCCGGCCATCCCCCCTCCGTTCCCTCTCAGCCGCCGCCGGCTGCAGTCGCTGATCAGCAGTGTCCCCTTGCCTCATCTGCTTACCTACCCCTTACTTCAGGAACCAGACAATCCTAGAGCTGGAAGAGCCCTCAGGAGTCATCAAGTCCAGCCCCCTGCCCCAGGCAGGACCAACCCCAACTCCATCATCCCAGCCAGGGCTTTGTCAAGCCGAGACTTAAACATCTCTAGGGATGGAGACTCCACCCCCTCCCTAAGGAACCCAGCCCAGCGCTTCCCCACCCTCCTAGGGAAATAGTTCTTCCGAATATCCAACCTGGACCTCCCCCACCACAACTTGAGACCATTGCTCCTTGTTCTGCCACCTGTCACTACTGAGAACAGCCTCTCTCCAGCCTCTTTGGAACCTCCCTTCAGGAAGTTGAAGGCTGCTCTCAAATCCCCCCTCACTCTTTGCTTCTGCAGACTCAACAAGCCCAAATCCCTCAGCCTCTCCTCGTAGGTCATGTGCTCCAGTCCCCTCATCATTTTAGTCCCCCTCCGCTGGACCCTCTCCAATGTGTCCACATCCTTTCTGTAGTGGGGGGCCCAGAACTGGACACAATACTCCAGATGTGGCCTCACCAGAGCCGAATAAAGGGGAATAATGACTTCTCTAGATCTGCTGGCCATGCCATTAGCCTTCTTGGCTACAAGGGCCCCTGTTAACTCCTATCCAGCTTCTCATCCACTGTAACCCCCAGGTCCTTTTCTGCAGAACTGCTGCTTAACTGGTTGGTCCCCAGCCTGTACCAATGTTTGGGATTCTTCTGTCCCAAGTGCAGGACTCTGCACTTGTCCTTGTTGAACCTCATCAGATTTCTTTTGGCCCGATCCTCAGTCTAATCTGTCTAGGTCACTCTGGACCCGATCTCTGCCCTCCAGTGTATCTACCTCTCCCCCTAGCTTAGTGTCATCCGCAAACTTGCTGTGGGTGAAATCCATCCCCTCCTCCAGGTCAGTAAACCCTTCCTAACTGACTCATCCTGACTCTTTACTTTCCTTATTAGTCATCTTTAAAAAAAACCCAAACCATCGCCAGACTAGCGCATGAAGCCGGATACTAAGCCCACACTTCTGCCGGCTCTCTAGGATGTGCCGGGCTCATCCGGATTTAAAAGGTGTACGAGCTGCAGGCTGTCCCTTTCCATTTCTGACGGGCACGCGGGGTGTGTCGCCATCTGGGTGAACAGCACACCCCAGAACATTGCCCACAATGTCAGAAATGTACAACCCGATCCAGGCAGTCGTGGGAGCTATAACTCCAAATGCTCCAAACAGAGCAAAAGGCTTGGTCGGCTTCTGACCTTGAGCAATCTACTCCCAGACACATATCACTGGGACGGAGTGATAGGGGGTCGGGCCGTAAGGACCGTGAAACGAACGAGGCTAGGGAAAGGTCCTATTCTTCCTCAGGGACTGGCTCCCCCTGGAGGAAGCGTGCTCCCCACAAAAATGCCGCCCCCTCAACCCCACAAACACGGTCTGACAAGCAGCACGCAAGCGGGACCGGCAAGGACAGAAGCCGGAACCCAAGGCGCTCCCAACGTACCTCAGAGACGGCACCGCCAGAGGCAAAACGCAAAGCCTCAGTGGCGGCACCGACTCAAACGTCCACGGCACCATCGTCCACACAAAAAAGACACCGCTCGCAGAAGGCACCGAGTGTGAGCAACTCCGCGAAAGCGGCACCACAAACCTACCCGGCACCGGTCCCACATACCAAACAGCCGGCGGTCCCGTTAACGCCACTGCATACTCCACACGCCTCCTGCCCCCACTGCTACTGCTCCCCAGCTGCTTCCACGTTTTACAACGGCAGCGGAGCTCTCAGACAACTCGGTACCAGGGTCGCCTGTCCTCTGCACCAGCTGTATCCTGAACACCTCACGGTGCACCTTCGCACCCACGCCTGTCAGCTCAGTGGCTCGTCTCTGTGACAATGAGGATGCAGTCTCCACACCGCCACAGTGAACGCGGCGCCCCTCGCGTAGGTCACAACAACAACGTCAGCAATGGCAACTCCCACAGTCGCTCCCAACCCCGGTCACGCCTGACTGGCCCTGCTGGGACCCCCGGGCGGCTTACAGGCATCAGTCTGCACAGCGACAGCAGACACATCCAGTACCACAGTCCCACACACCAATGAGGCAGGCCAGGGAACAGTACAGCTCGGACTCGGGTGAACAAGACGTGGACTCTCTGGGAGAGGAACAGGGATCGCCCCTTTCTCCACCCCCACAAAACTCATCCGCCTCCCCCGAGGATACGGTCATAACCCCACCGGCAAGGACGGCCGCTGAGCCTAAGTCGTTCCGAGATCTTTTTAAGAGAGTGACTGACACCTTAGAGTCTCTCTCTCTGACGTGCTGCAGGCCCAACACAAGCTTACAAACATTCTACAAACACCTTCCCGTCCCCATGAACAAGACGCTCATGAACCCCACCAAAAATATATGGCTCACGCCAGCCACAATCACCCCAACATCAAAACGAGTGGACAGGAAGTACTGCGTCACTCCCAAAGGGGCAGAATTTCTATTTTCCCACCCGGCACCAAATTCCCTCATGGTAGAAGCCGCGAATCAGAGAGGGAAACAACAAGCCACACGAATAACTCCATATGATAAGGATTGGAAGAGGCTGGATGCAATGGGGAAAAGGCATATTCGGCAGCAGGCTGCAGATAAGAATTGCTAATTGAACTGCATGATTAGCAAAATATGTGCATCAGATCTTTGACCAAGTAACAGCTTTCATTGACTCACTTCTAGTTATTAATGGAGGTTGCTGAGCTTCTAGGACTGGAAGGGACCTTGAAAGGTCATCAAGTCCAGTCCCCTGCCTTCACAGCAGGACCAAGTACCATTCCTGACAAATATTTGCCCCAAATGGCCTCCTCAAGGATTGAACTCACAACGTGGGGTTTAGCAGGCCAATGCTCGAACCACTGA